TTCCATTTGTCCTCTCTATGGATTTTTCTCCTTTGGTGCATCTCATTGCTCATTTTCCTCTACTTCTTCAGAAGACTTAATGTCAACAACTTGGAGGAAATCAGCTAATAATACCTCTATTTCTCCTCTGGCCTTGCTAGCTACCACTATCCCCCTGCCATGGACTTTTTATCCCTGCCAGTAAGACCTGAGCTCTTAAACTTTTTGTTTCTGCAAGTGGGTCATTAAATTTGCCTTCTAGTTTCAGTATATGGCTTGAGGTTCATTAATATGCATGGTATCCAACAGGTTATTTATGCCAGGGCTTACTTTGAAATTGCCTGGTTGGAATCTGTGTGTGTGTGTTTGTGTGTGCGCGCGCGCATGCGCGCACGTGTGTGTGTGTGTGTGTGTGTGTGTGTGTGTGTTTTCCCCCAAGACTATCTTCTGGCAATTTTCTATTCACTTTGTTCTTAACTGATGGATGGTATGTGGCTCTTGAAGTCAATAGCAGTTTTAGTATCATCTCAGGAACAATCTCCCTTAGCCTCCTCACACTGTATGAGGTTATCCTCCTCCATACTCTCCACATAATACAGAAAAAGCCTTCCAAATTTCTCTTTGGTCTGCAAAACACTATTTGAAGTAAATGGGCAGTCTATAGAATTCGGAAAATTTGGAACTGGAAGGTTCATGAGAGAGAGAAAGTCAGAGTGAGTTGGGGTGGGAGCTCAAGCAATATAAAGAAAAGAGAAATGAGTGAATCAGGCAAAACCATGGTGAGGCAAACACCCAACCCTACTCCATCCCAAATTCTTCACTGCATTTAAAGTGTTTATGTTAAGTCCTTTGCAAGTTTACGCTTTTTTTTAAGCTTTCAAAATCATCATAAGACTGCAGGTAGGTTGACCTCCTTGGTGGACACTTGATCCTTCCTACCCATGACCTATACAGAGAAGACCATCTCTTCCGGCTCCTGCCCCCTATCCTGAAGCCCAGCCTCCAACACTGAACTCAGAACTCACTCACACACGGTGAATATTCGGCTAAATCCATTTCTTCTACATAACTACTCATGTATGTAAATAAAAAATAATATTGACTCTGGGCTTTTTGTATTTTGGAGTACTAGACTGTGAGTTTCTTGAAGAAACTACCAGCTCTTTTTTTCCCCCTGTCCCTACCTCATGGTAGCTAGGATCCTTTAGCCATTTAAAGAATACCTGGTAGCTTAAATTGACTTTTGCAAAAAAGCAGGTACATTTCAGGGAAAGGACAATAAAAGAGAGAGGGAGAGAAAGAGAGATGGTGAAACATGATTAATGGCCTAATGTTCTCTACCAGATGGAAGTGTTTTTAGCTGTTGGAGCTCAAGCAACCCAAGGCCAAGAGTGTTGGAATTATCCTAAGGAATGTAAGCTCCTAAAGAAAACTTACTCATCCTACAAATTGCTGGCCTAGTAAAATAGATTTCAAGGTATGAGTATTCGTTTTTTCCAGAAAGTGTAAAAGTAGAAACAAAGAGTAATGATCCTATAAAGATTTTGGTGCCCTAATCCCCAGAACCTGTGAATATGTTACCTTTGCAGATGTTGATGATGGCCACACATAGAGAGATGGGAAGATTATCATAAATTATCTGGGTAGGCCCAATCTAATCACAGAAGCCCTTAGAAGCACAGGACCTTTCTCAGTCTTGGTCAGTGAGAGAGAGAGATGTGACGACAGAAACAAGATCGAAGAGATGCAGCGTTGCTGGCTTTAAAGAGGAATGAAGAAAGCCATGAGCCAAAGAATGAAGACCGCCTCAAGAAGGTGGAAAAAGCAACAAAACGGATCATGCCCCAGAGCCCCCATAAAGGAACACAGCCCTGCCAAACCGGATAGATTATTCTGACTGAAACTATTCCTCTATTCCCTCTTTCACTCTTCTCCACTTGACTATCTTTTCTCATCTTTAAAGATTCAGTACAAACTTCCTCTTAAAAAATCTGTTTTGTCGATATAAGCTATAATTTTCCAAAAAGTGGGGAGGACAATGTCATATTCCTTATAAGTGTAATTTGAATGATGGAATTAATTAATCATAATTTGATGGACTATAAAAATAAAGGACAATAAAACAGTATTCATGTCACTGCTTTTAAAAAAGAGATTAACAGGCTAGGCGCAGTGGCTCACGCCTGTAATCCCAGCACTTTGGGAGGCGAGGCAGGCCGATCATGAGGTCAGGAGATCAAGACCATCCTGGCTAACACAGTGAAACCCTATCTCCACTAAAAATACAAAAAAAATATTAGCCAGGCATGGTAGCGGGCGCCTGTAGTCCCAGCTACTCAGGAGGCTGAGGCAGGAGAATGGCATGAACCTGGGGGGCGGAGCTTGCAGTGAGTCGAGATTGCACCACTGCACTCCAGCCTGGGCAACAGAGGGAGACTCTGTCTCAAAAAAATAATAATAATAAAAATAAAACAAAAAAAGGATTAACAGCACTCACGAGGATCCACCTACATTTACATTCATAAACTCCTGCTTTTCTTCTTCTCCTCTATTTGGATGCACATGTTCACATGCACACATGCACACACACACACACACGCACACAAGTCAGCTTCACACAGCCTGGCCATCGAGTATCAGTTTATGGCTATTCAAAGTCAGACAAGTGAGCAATATATCTTGCTCCGTGATCAAGGGTATAGACAGAAGGGAGTCAAAGAATGAAACCAGAAAATGTCAAGGCAAGTCTGAAAGGAACAGAAAAGGTTCCAAAACAAGGCATTTAAAACCAGAACCAAGGTTTCAGAACTAAACAACTCACGATATGGTGGTTTTAAAATATATCCACAAATACTTTGCCAATCCTTTTTTTTTTTTTTTTTTTGAGATGGAGTCTGGCTCTGGCCCAGGCTGGAGTGCAGTGGCCGGATCTCAGCTCACTGCAAGCTCCGCCTCCTGGGTTTACGCCATTCTCCTGCCTCAGCCTCCCGAGTAGCTGGGACTACAGGCGCCCGCCACCTCGCCCGGCTAAGTTTTCATATTTTTTAGTAGAGACGGGGTTTCACCGTGTCAGCCAGGATGGTCTCGATCTCCTGACCTCGTGATCCGCCCGTCTCGGCCTCCCAAAGTGCTGGGATTACAGGCTTGAGCCACCGCGCCCGGCCAAGCCAATCCTTTTTCCAAATGGTGAAAACTAATTCCACTCCAGTTGAGTGTGGGCTGAAATGAGTCCCTTCTAATGAACAGAATATGGCCAATGTGAACAGCATCTGATCAAGCCACAAAAGATATCATCACAGCTTTCTCCTTGCTCTCACTCTCTCTCATCACTTGTGGAGGATGCCAATGGCCATGTCATAAGTAGCCTAAGGAGAGACGCACACAGTGTGGAACTGAGGCCTCCTGCCAATAGCCACATGAGTGAGCCATTTTGGAAGCCAATTCCCAAACCTTCAGACAATTACAGGCCCAGCCAGCATCTTGACTACAACCTCCTGAGAGTCCCTGAGCCAGAACCACTCAGCTAAGCTGCTTTCAAATTTCCAACCATAGAAATTATGATATAACAGATGTTTGTTGTTTTAAGCCACTAAGCTTTGAGATAATTTATTATATCATGATGGATAGCCAATATACATGAGATACAATCCTTATACCAGAAGTTACACATTGGAAGTCAAGATCTAGATTCAGTCTACAAATATATTTTCTTCAGCTCATAATAGTGGGTTTTTTTTAATAAGCCAACATTTAAAAATCATTACATTTCATTTAGAAATCTAGATTGCCAGTCTCTCTAAAAAAATTTAGGAGATTTCTAGCAACACAAAGTCCTGCATCCCACCTCTGGCAACAAGCAGTGGAAGCTGAGCACCTGCTATACAAGAGACATGCTGTCCCTCATCCATCACAGCCACCACCAGAGACTATTCATCTCCATACTGACCCCAGAGGTCCCTGCCATTTAGATGGCTGCTGCATTGCTATTTAACTTTTAGTTGAGAAATATTTCCCAGTTCCTATATCTTTATCAAAAGTAGGAAACAAAAGATGTACTGAAAGGTCTGTGTGTTTTCAAGAAATCCAGGAGAAAACTTATTTCTGAGCGGAAATGAAGAATACTCCTGCATATCAAATATGCCACTGTTGTGTACCTGTGCTGAATACATACAATTTAAGAACACATTTTTCATCCCCTGGTGGTTTTGCTCACTAGGCTAACTGACTGGTCCCTGTAGGTAATGGGTTGGCTAAAACTGCTTTTTCTCTTCCTGGACCCTTAGAAATGGAGCTAGGGTAAGGCATATGAGCATGCTAGATCTGGTCCTTCAGCATCTTAAAGGTAGCAGCCAACATTAGACCTTTCCTCTCATATTGCTTGTTTTCAAAAGAATTTCAGTTTTAGGAAGATACTATAACATCCATTAAATATTTTTCTGGCTTTGTACTTAGAATAATTGTTGAGCCTGAGTATGTTACTGGTTGTTGACTCAAATTATGTCTGACTACAACCATCTAGAATAATCAGAGATAGTTTTAGGTGCAACCCCTACTTTATCATAAATGCATGCCTTTTACTATTACTAATATTTCTGTGAGGGTCAGCAAACCACAGCACACAAGATAAATCTGGCCCACTACCAGCTTTTATAAATAAAGTTTTATTGGGACACAGTCACACTCATTTATTTACTTTTTTGTTGTCTGTGGCTGCTTTCATACCACAGTGGCTGAGCTGAGTAATTCTGACAGAGACCTTACAACCCACAAACCTAATATGTTTACTATCTAGCCCTTTATCTCTAGCTGACCCCCAAACAAGAATGATAAAATACAAATGTTTTGGTGGTCAATAAGCTGAGAACTCATTGTGCTTCAAAAGAATACAACACAGGAAAAGGTAAGTTCACCATGCTTTCTCCAGAAAATTTACTGATAACTCATAGTCAATAACCCTGAAGCTTTCTTTACCTTACAAATGGACATAAATATAACTGGTTTTAAGTTGAAAATGAACTCACCGTGGCTAGTTTCTGAACATCTTCATCTGATGCTCCCAGAGACGCCAGACCTATTTCTTGTGAAAACTGAGCAAACTTAGGATCCGCAAGTAGTGGAACATGTCCCAAGAGTTCATGGCATGTGTCTCTGACAAAGACATCACAAAGACATGTTGTATAAGAAGCTTTAAATTACCACTGGTAGAACACAACTTAAAATCCTAAATAAGACCTTGTCACTATAATTAATTAATTACTATAGTTCATCAATCCTCGGACTTTTTAATCATTTTAATATGTCTGAAATCCCAGTGCATCTCGTAATTAACAGCAATTAAAACATATGATATATAATATTTTAATAACATAAAAGCAACTACCATTTTCAAGTTCTTACTATATGCCAAGTACATGGTAGGTGTTTTGTTGTATGCATTATCTCTTTTATTCTCAAAATAACCTTAGAGAATTGAAGTAACTTGTTAGCACAGGATCCTGTAGATCACGGATAGGAAAACAACAGCCATGGTCCAAATCTGTTCCATTGCCTGTTTTTGTAAAAAAAAGTTTTTCTTGAATATAGCCATGCGCATTCACTTGTGTATTACCTGTGGCGCTTTTGACCACACTGCAGAGTTGAGTAGTTGTGACTGAGATCATAGAGCCAAAATAATTAATTAGCTAACCCTTTACAGAAAAAAAAATGCTGTTTCTTGCCATAGATAGTGAGGAAGGCAAAATTGGAATCCAATTTGTCATGATTTTTAAACTTTTGCTGTTAACCCTTAAGTTGTACTGCAACTCTGTTACACTTTGCCAGGCAATGGGTAACGGGAGAGGATTCTATTGTCATCAACATCAAAGTAGCTTTTCCAGTAGATGATTTATACCTCTAATATAAGCAACTTTCTCGTGATAACACACTATAAGAATCTCCCAGTTCTTTGCTTTGGTTAGCCTGAACTAGGTAATAATAGAAGCCTGGAACCCCTCTCATTTGTCTGAGCTTTCATTTGGAGCCAGATAAGTGGGCAAAAGACAGGTATCTTTCACAACAATACAAGGCAGATGCCTTCCTGAGTCATTGCCATGAATAATGAACTGTTCCATGATACCAAGCTGTAATGGAATGAATTACCCTATGGTTGTCTGGGAATGGATTGAGATGCAGGAACATTTTAAATTACTGACCAAAAAAAACACCAATTACCTAGGTAGTAATTAAAAGATATTTTTGATTTCACTTGTACTCCTCTGAAATCTATCACTTCAAATAGGTGCTAGAATACGAATACCAGGTGCTACCATTATCACAATTATAAAGTATGTTGGATGGTCACACAGTTGAAGCAAATGAATGATGGTCAAGGGCCAAGATTGATGCCCACATAAAATAGATAGCATCACTCAATCACTCAATCAAAAAGTCTTATTCTCACAACCCAAACCATATCCCCAACCTTGGCCAGTTACTTCATGGAGAGCAGGTTGAAAGGGCAGCCAATTGAGAATAGTGAACAGGATACTGAAACAAACTCCAAATTCATCCCTTGTCAACTGTGTCAATAACTTCCTTTTTTGTACATGAACTGAACTGAATTTGTTTTTTTTAAAAAAAAGGAATATGAGGTTGTTATTCTTCAATCGCATTGCTTATGGCAAAGAAGCAGATGCACTGGATTTCAGGGTATAGGGGCATTTAAATGTAATCCAAGCCCTTCATTTTACATATGAAGAAATGAAAAATAAAGAAGAGAGAGAATATACTGAGCTCCTACTATGTACTCGGTAATGTGCTAAATGTTTTCAAGTCACATTGGTAACTGAACCTTTCCTTACGTGTTTTATAAAGGAATAATAAATATAAATAAGAGAAGCTTTATTATTCCAATTTAACAAATGAGGAAGCTAAAATTTAGTAAATCTAAGAATCTTTTCCTAAGCTACCACATTTTTAGCAAAGACAGAGACAATTCTTTTCTTTTAATCAGGATCTCCCTTTGTTGCCCAGGCTAGAGGACAGTAGTGCAATCACAGCTCATTGCAGCCTGGACCTCGTGGGCTCAAGCAATCCTCCCACCTCAGCCCCTCAAGCAGTTGGGACTACAGGCACATGCCACCACACCTGGCTAATTTTTTGTAGAAATGTCAGGGGTGGAAGTTGGGGTGGGTTCCTCACGATGTTGCCCAGGCTGGTCTTGAACTTCTGACCTCAAGCAATCCTCCCACCCCGGCCTCCCAAAGTGCTGGAATTATAGGCATGAGCCACTGCACCCAGCCCAGAGACAAGGTTCGAAATCAAATTTTTTGAACTCCAAACCTACACTCTTTCAGCCCTCTGTTGTTTCAATTTGTAGATATGGTGTAAGCAAGAAAGGGGCTGGGGTGTACATAGCTTAGGCCGTAGGAAGAGAGTTTAGTCAAGCTAGCTAGCACAAGTAAGAAATGTAGTCAGTATTTCCTAAGTCTCTTTTCCTCCAACTCAGTGCTTCTCAACTTTCCATATCACTTGAGGAGTATTTTAAAAAATACCGAATGACTAGGCCCTGCCTTAGACTAATTCAATCAGGCTCCCTGAGATAAACCTGAGCATTTTTTTAAACTCTCACCAGGTGATAATAAGACACAGCCAGGGCTGAGATTCACTGTCATAACTGATGACTCTAGGAGCTCTCCTAGCTAGCTTCAAGCAACCAGTACTTAAAACTACAACTGAATGTGATTATGTAATTGAGAGCTGCTCAAGTTTAATCCCACTAAAATTACATCACGATACTGAAGAATAATGAAAGGTGGTGACTGAGAGGTAGATGGGTAACTAATTCCTTCTCCATGTGCATTTGATTCAGTTAGAAGTCCAATACTTCTAAGCCGGGAGTGGACCCTATGGACTCATTCTTCTGATCAATTTTTTAAAAGGTCATGCCTCCTGCGCCAATATTGGAATTAAGATCAAGTAACCCACCATGGAAAAATCTGAAAACCTCCATTGTAGCTCATGATGTAAATGCTAAAGAGCTCCCACTGATCCAAGCAAAAGATGTGGCAACAATAATTTTAAATTAGTCACTATGTCAACTCCAAGAAAATACTGAAGATAATGAGTATTCTCTCATTGCATAAACAAGATGAGCAGAAACTAAAGTAACAATTATAGTGAATGCTTACTATGAGCCAGGCACTGTGCTAAATGCTTCATAACGTAAGAAGAGAATAGGGTAGGTCAAAGCTACAGTGGTGTTAGATGCTTGGTGCAATATGGAATTTACCTTTGAACTTGTTAAATACTTGAAGAAGGCCAATCCAAAAGACAGTCTTCTGTCTACTTAGATACTAATGGAGTCCAAAAGCTTACTGGTAGAAGGTAAGGTGGAAAGTTAGCAGTTAGGAAAATACTAGAGATCCAAAGACATTCAGGAGTCAGTTCTCCATGGTAGAAAAAGGAGCTATCACCTGAGTGTTAAGATGTCATTATCAGAAACCTATAACTCACTAGCCAACTTAAGAACCTTTAATACCATCACAATGACAAAGTAATCTAACTACACAAAGAAGAGGATAAAAGAAGTTATAAATTTGGAAGAAAAGAATCATACAATACGGCAGAGTGAGTTATATTGTTTCATTAAGAATGAAAGCCTGAAGCGAGATGTCTAGCAGAATTATTAATGGAACCTCAGATATACCCTTTGCTCTATTACAAGTAGAAATGATTATGCTGTATTTTGCTAGCTTGTGCCCTCTTCTCAGCTCCATTTCCATGCAGAGACCCTGAGAAAGACCTTCCCTTCAGATTCCTGAACAAAGTGTGGACACAGTATGTCATGGGGCCAAGGCTTTGAGCACCTGTATTTCAAGACCAAGAACAAGGTTATTATATTTTATGTCTTTGGTGAAACATTCTCAGAAATAAACACCATATTGTTCTCTATCCCACTGTCTTTGGCTAAGGTACATGTAGACAAAGGAAATTGAAGTGCCTGGAAACTCTTCAACCAGAGAGCAAAGATTTTTAACATTACTAATAAAAGCAATTCATTAACTTTGAAAAGTTTACATTTTTTAGATTCTCTGAGACCAGAGGACTTAGAAGCTGAAGTGACCTCCACTCTTTGGGGCAGAAAGGGGTTCCAGGCTATGAGTAGTCTGAAGGAGACTGCAGACCGCAAAAACCTTCTCTCTAACCTCTGTACCAATTAAGGTCTGCTGGGCTGAAATTATGCTATTAAACTTTATTTTACAAAGTGCAAATGCCACTGCACTGGGTCCTGCATGTAAAGTAGTTTGAGATCCCTACTTTGGTTGTATCATCCACAGCCAAACCCCTGAGTATCTAATTATGAACAGGTTTCTGATGTGAGTTCACGACTATTGCCTTATCTCACCAGATCTCTCCAAAAAGATTCAATTATTTGGCCATAATTGCACCTGTCAGCACATGCTGCCTCCAATCTCTACATCAGCAAACTTTTCTCTTTTTAACTCCCATTGCTTTGATACATTTTTGCCTGAATAATGCTTTTTAGAGTCCTTTTTACAAACGTGCTCTGTTCACTGGAAATACAAGACCTTTCAAAGCTGTTAACACTGTAAAACATCATGTCTCCTTTTTATTAAAAAAAAAAAAAAAAAGCAAGAGCTGATATCAGACACTAAACTTTTGCTGCTCTAAATTGGAATCTTCTCTGATAAGCCCTGCTAGGGGGATTCTAAAGCCTGCAGAAATAGGTCCACAAAGGAGCCTCGGTGAAATGTCTCTGGGAAATTCTTAACTCAGTCCAAGAAAGTAGCCATCATTTTGCTATGAAGAAATAAGGGTTCTGGTTGTTAAGTTCAAATTCAAAATGAGTCTGGCATTTTTCTCCTCTTATCAGTTTTCAAAGCTGACTCCTTGCACTATATGTTGAACAACTCCTTTTTATTTTTGGTGTAAATTAAAGCCTTTACGAGGCATTGAGTGAGCGTCCAACATTTGCTTCCCATCCCAAATCTGCACATCTGTCTTTTAAAACGTATTTCTATAGGTTTTGTTTGCTCTAAATGACACAGAAGCCAACACTTTAGCTAAATCATGAAGAGAAGGAAAGGCAGATGAGTGGGAGAGGTGGAAACTTTGCATTAATAAAAGGAAGCAGGAGGATGAGCTGG